CTCCTCCTCCCAGGGCCGAGGCACAATCCTGGGCTGGGTTGTGCCCGGCGGCCTGCGGTCATTCCTGGTTTAGGCTTGGGGGCGGCGGGGGTGGGCGCCGCCTGGAGAATCCGTGTCTCGCTTACGCATGCGCCTCGTGCAGTCGCTGAAGAGGGAGTGCGCGACTAACGCGAGAAGCGGCAGCGCGGCAGACGACATTGGGAGCGCCGATTTCTTTTCCTCATGGGGGGGTTGCTGGAGCAAGGCGGAAAAGAAGAGGAGGAGGAGGATGAGGAGGAGGAGGAGGAGGGAGAACGAACAGGAGGGAGGAGGAGGATGAGGATGAGGAGGAGGAGGAGGGAGGAGGAGCAGGAGGAGGAGGAGGAGGAGGAGGACGAAGAGGATTACCCTGGGGATTACCCTGCGAGGTACGAATGTACCAATAGCTGCGCTAGCACTGGGAGGCTCCTGTGGTTTGTGCTGCTGCTGCTGCTGCAACTATCCTACCCATGCTGGCACTGCTGGCAACGGGGATGGATGCAGCAATGCCCCCCCTCTCGCTTGAAGCCACTGGGCTCACGCCAACCCAGCGGCTTTGCACCCAGCCAGTTCCCTGCAAGTGAAGTTAGGCTGAATGCACTCTCAATCTGAATCTCCAGGTTCGGCCTCCAGCACGGTTGGCTGGAGCTGTCGCGCCGCTCGACCGCTTCGGGAAGCGGGGCAATCGAACCAGATCCAGAGGATGGCTGTTCCATGGGAGCTGCGTCTTCCTTCGGGGCAACCCCGGCACAAAACCCGATCGACGACCAAACCCGGGCACGAGAGATAGCCCTCCGGGCATCTCTCTCGTGCAACGTATCACGAACTCTGGCGGACATACCTGCTCGATGGGGCCACGAGTCTTTACAGAGACGCCTGGGGTGCTGCTTTCCTTTAGCCGCTTCATGCTTAGAAAGCTCTGCGCGGGAGGCAGCAAGCAAGCTGCTGCAGCACCCGCAGGAGAAGCAGACATACAAGGGAAAGGCATCCCCATACAGGAGGGCGCGCGTTCGGTGGAGCTCCTTCCCCCGTGGACGACCCACCCGTCCCACCGCCCACTCTCTGGACGCACGCCGCTCCTACACCTCTGAATTGTGGCGGCTGGCACGGGGACCTCGCGAACCACTCCAAGTCTTCGTGCAGGGCCAACTCTTCGCAGAATCTGCAATGCCAACGAGCCCCGAGGCGGACGAGGTGATGGCACGACATAGAAGTCAAGAGGGCCTGCTTGCACAGACTAGGAGGTCGGGGCCCAACACCAGAGACTACTGGGTCGGCGGACATGGCATCAAACGTGGCACGGATAGCACGCCCGCGATCGAATGTGCGCAGGCATCGGTGAGGCCGACATCGGGCCTTTCTTTGGCTCGCTAGAGCGAGCGGACTGCGCCATCATGCGCGGCGAACGCAACTGCACAAGCGTTGCCCGCGATGTCCTCCAGCTGCTGTTCGCTCTCGTCACCAGCGCGCCGGTGCTCCTGGTGGCTACGCATGAAGACCATGTCGACAGTGTGGTCACACCACGCTTGCTCAGAGCACGCTTGACCAATCACCAGAGATTAGCATTGGCCCCATTCGGAGCTCTCCATTCCTTTTGCCCCCATTCCTGCGCCAGCGGCAGATTGTCAGTGAAATACAGCAAAGCGCCAGTGCATGATTTGAGGGCATATACCACTCCCATTATCCCAGCACGTGGTACCGTCTGCCTGCCAGGGAGCCCTGCTGCCAACCCCGCTGCCATTTCCATACCGTTCATGATGACTACGCCGACTCCGCAAGGGCGCATGCGAGGGTCTGAGCCGTGTGCACCGCCCGACCCATCGCCATACACCTTCAGCACGCCTCCATGCACAGAACACCCGCCGTCTCCCAGTCACCGCTGATCTCCTCCATGCACTCCTCATCCTCGGGGTATCAGTACCGAGTCCAGCTGGCGAGACCGCGCGCAACCACATGCACGGGGTCACGCCGTGGCCGTCCACCGCCCCTTTGTACCAAACTCTGCGAATCAACGTAGTCCTGGTGGTCCGTGTTGCAGCGGCATGTCCTGATGCGGTGCAGCAGCGTCTCGTCCTCAAGACCGCAGCGGGGACAGAAGGGGCGAGACGTTGCACCCCGCGTCTCGCTGCCTGGTTCTGGTCCAGGACCCTCCTGCGAGCACCTGCATGAGCACGCTCCATTGGCTGTAGTCACCGTCGCGCTGCAGGCGTGCTAGGTGCCTCCGAGCTTGGTAAAGGTCAGCACCGTTCTCCAGCCCAGCTCCAGCATCATGTCGCGCAGCTAACTGCCACTGCGCGCGCGAGATGAGGGCCACAACCTCGTCCAGCAGCTCAGCGTCATCGAAGTCGAGGGTCTCGCTCATCTGCCGTTCTTCGCCGCTGTCGGACCTCCAGCGTGCGGCCGTAGGCGCGTCCCAACCAGCCTGCAACATCGTGCCGATGACTGCGGAGATGGCTCGACGAACTCGCGCCCACCTCCTGGCAGGAGGCTTCGCCTTCAGCTGCCTATAGATGATGACCCAGGCCCTCTGTACTCGGTGCCGGTGCTGGGGATGGCGCCTCCAGAACTGCAACCACTCCATCAACAGCTGCCTCGGGAGCGCCAGCCCTGGGTCCTCCGTGTCGTCAGTGAGGCCGAGCACCGTGGTGAGGCACCTGCCGAAGCCTTTGCCTGCGACTGCCTTGGCTGCCTGCATGCGCAAGCGCAGCAACACGCTGGGGGCAATGCCGAGCACCTGGTGGCTGTATGCGATGGAGGGAAACGCTCCGCTGCGGTTGAGCATCGTCGCGTATTTGCTGAGGTGCGCCCTGCGTCGCATGCGCGCAATGCCTCGGATCCGCTTCGCTGCTCCAGCCACTCTCTTCTGATACTGCTGCTGGTCGCGACTCTTGGCCGCCGTCGTGCTGACACCCAGGCCCACTGCACTGTGAGCCGCCTGCGCTGGTACTCCGCCTGCTTGGGCCCTGGCCTCCACATGCTTGGCGACCGTCGCAGAGGTTGCCACGAGGACTGACTTGGCCAGGACGAGGAGGAGGAGGAGGAGAAGGAGGAGGAGGAGAACGGGGCAGAGGGCTCCAGGGATTCGACCATCGCATAGCAATCCCTTGTGATACACACGTGCCCTGACCTGGGGAGCAACGAGACGAAAGAGACAGAAAATCACGTGCACGCACTGGACGACGAACTCCGGGAACTACCGGTGAAAGAATATCAGCCATCACCAGACACCAGAGAATATGAGAAATCACAACCACCGCAACTTTGAATAACACTTGACATCGAATTTATGAAACACTTCATGCAATTCCACGCGCAGGGCAATCTTTACGGTAAGATACCAGAACGCGACACCACACCATGAGCAACCGTATGAAGTATACGCGATACGCGAATCTCTGGCATCATGAAAACTGGCCATGGGCGGCGCCGGCTCGTTAACACGGGCACCATCTCGCGGCAGAACGCGGTAGCATTGGCGACAGTACATAACCGTTCTATAGCGCAACTTGCACTTGTAGAAACCAACACCACGCAAGGAAATTTATCACAGAGAGCATAGGCCCACCTTGGTGTGTATCAAGTAGGATGACCTGACGCCGCACACCGCTGCAACTAGAGGCTGGGAGCACGGCAGACAGGATAATCGCATTAATCCCGAGTCCACAATCCACCTGCATGAGGCGGTGGGTATTTCTGAACAGCCTCTAGCGCCAAGCCACGCACACGCATGGGATCCATCGCCACCGTAATTTCCAGTGTCAGGCAAAGCACCTCCACGACGACCGCCCAGAATGAAACGAATGGGGTCCATGACACACGAAGCTGCGCCATGACTAAACAAAGCGACGTTCATCCCGATCAGCCTCCTTGTTGATGTACCGCCGCAGGGTGGGACTTAGATTGGCTTGGAGCCCCCGAGCCCTTCCCTGCGGACGGGACGCAAATGGCGGAGAGCAGGAATATGAAGCCATAGCATGCACGACCACTTCATGTAGCGTGGGGAATGCAGGTGTGCGCTTCAGACCCGTAGGGTACCCTTGAACGTGATACATATAGTCCCGTACCAACACCAGCTAATTGTATCCTGAGGTGCAGGATTTGCCCAGCTTATCCCATATCCATCGGGTAAGAACAAATCTCCAGCCGTCGAGCGAGCCCCTGAAGCGCTTCGTGGAAGCACTGGGCCCGACTCGATGCATACCGTCCCGGCGGCAAAAACACCTGGGGGGGACGCCTTGATACGCATGTGCCTGAGAGGACGACACGTATTAGCCCCAAGCATGAAGAGGGGAGGACGGGGGATGGGGAAGGAGGAGGAGGAGGAGGAGGAGGAGGAGGAGGGAGCACAAGAGATCACCAGAGAGGAGGAGGAGGAGGAGGAGGAGGAGGAGGAGGAGGAGGAGGAGGAGGAGGAGGAGGAAAAAGGAGGAAGAGGAGGAGGAGAGGAGGAGGAGGAGGAGGAGGAGGAGGAGAAGGAGGAGGGGGAGGAGGGAGAGGAAGGCGGAAGAGGACGAGGGATTAGGAGGGGGGGGGAGCGCGGGACGGACTCCCCTTCTGGACCCCTGCGGTCTCGTGCGCCAGCTGCCCGTTCACTCTCACGAGCCTGTCCCCCTGCTCCACGCCGCCTTTATGCGACCAGCCACCGATCTCCACACTGTCGACGAAGACCTCCGCTTCTCGTCCTCCTCCTCCTCCTCCTTCTCCTCCTCCCTTCTCCACCCCCATCTCTGCCCACTCTTCCCGCTCTTCCCGCTCTTCCCTCCTCCTCCTCCTCCTCCTCTTCCTCCCTCCTCCTCCTCCTCCTCCTCCTCCTCCTCCTCCTCCTCCTCCTCCTCCTCCTGGCCAGCGTTCTGCGACGTCACATGCTGGACCGTCAGAGCTCGAGTGGTCAGGACCCGCTGGCCAGTGGTCGACGTCGCCGAGTTTTGCTGAGCTCGGAATGGCAGAACCCGCTACGTATCGATGACTCCCACTTTGGGTAGATGGACCATGGGCTGAATCCCATGGAGGCTGGCAAGGCTTCGACACTCCGGCTGTCCCTCAAGGAGCATGGCTACCTCGCCTCAGTGGTCCTCGACGGCCAGCGGTCCCAGATCCGCAGGTACGATAGCGGCATGGCGGTGGATGACTCGCGCTTGCTGTGCGACGAGGTCGGCACGCTCCTCCACAGGCATTGCTGCTGCCGTGGGTGGCCGCCCGAGCTGCGCCTGCCCGACAAGATGTGCTGGCTCTTGGAGAAGGCCGACCTGCCCGAGGTGAAGTGCCTGCTGGAGCGTGTGCTGCGGCCCGCGCCGCAAGGGATCGCCAAGCCCAGCATAGTGCCCGACATCTGCTGGCTCGGCGAGTGCGAGGGCTACTTCCCGTCGGGCGAGCTGTTCCTTGACAGCTCCCAGTTCGAGGGCGACTACGAGCAATACGCCGGTGTGGCTTGGGCCATCATCGCGCTCAAGCAGGAGGCTGACGCCTTCCTGTGCGGCGCGTCAGGGATGCTGTGCGAACCGCACGTCGACATCAACGGCAACGAATTCATGGCGCTCATCATGGTCCTCAGGTTCGCCATTCCGCCCGTCACCGTGATCGTGAACAACGGCTTGGTGTGCAGCGGGCTGACGGAGCTGGGGCCTCGGCACACCACTGCGCACGGTGCGGCCTGGGCTCACCTGTGGCGCGAGGTCTGGCGGCTGCTGGACGAGTTTTGGGGCTTGAGCGAGGACGGTCTCTCGGTCAGGAAGATGCCCGCCCATCAGTCTAGGCGAGCGGTCGTCGTCGATGGCAAGATCACCTACAAGGACTAGCTCGGCAACCGCTGCGCTGATCGTGCAGCGAGATCGGCGGTGGAGGCAGGACGTATCACGCCTGCTGGGCGGCGCCGTCTCGTCATGGCGGACATGCTGGTCGAGGGCGTTGGCATGTGGGTGGCCGCCGTGGGCGGCGTAATGGACGGCATGGACACCACGCACAAGGTCGCCAAGGCTAACCGCTCAGCCCCGAAAGTAGCAGCAGCAGTCGGGCCCGTGGCGAAGCTCGTCTGCGACCGGAGGGGCCCCGAGGGCAAGCGGTGGTGCAGCCGCTGCAGGTGGGTGGAGCGCGCCAGCGAGTGCCCTGGATCGATCGTCGCAGCGGCGCTCAGCCACAACGAGGCGCTGAAGCAGGCGGGCAGGGACGTGCACACGCTGGTGCAGCTCAAGTCCCAGCGCGAGGCGGACCTCGTGCGCGAGATGCCCGTGGTGATGTGCGCAGCCTGCGGATTGCTGGGCTCGGCGCGGGCGTACAGCTTCGCTGCGATCTGCGGCCACCCCTCGGCTAAGGGGAAGGTCGCCATCGCCAGGCTCGCGAAGAAGCTGGCGCCAGCGATCCCAGCGAAGATCGCGGTGTCCATCGAGCCGCTGACTGGCTGACGGAGGCGCGCGGAGCCCGAGGGGCCGTCGCGCGCAGCGCACGCTGAGCGTGCGGGCGCTGGCTGACGCTGGCGAGAGGGGCCGCTGCCGCGCGTTGGGCGCGGGGCCGCGAGCGTCGGGGGAGTCGGCACGGACTCTTCTGCGGCTCGCTCCTCCTCCTCCTCCTCCTCCTCCTCCTCCTCCTCCTCCTTCAGTAGTAGGCATGTCCAGCCTTTGAGAATTCAATCGCGTGTGGTCGAAGAGCGTCGAGGCGCCCGTGTCAATGACTGCCGAGTTGTGGAGATGCGCGAGTGCACTTCGCGACGACGTCGTGTTGCTTGCACTCCGCGGCACGCGTGCATCTGATCGTTTAGACAATTCGGTATTCGACTGGGGTCGCCTGCACAATGCGGCGGTCCCAAATACCCTCTTCGCGCATCGTCCACCGGATGTCCGCAATTGCACACTTGAGGAGGTGGGGACATGATTGACCCCTCCCGCGGCAGTGCGTTGTAGGCAAGCCGCGCCCTGTCCTCTTGTGGATTTCTCTGCAATGGCCTTTGGGGCCATGGGCCTTCCCGCGCAACCTGATCTTGCTTACTGTTGCGCCTGCGGAAAAAAAAGGAATGGGCGGTGCGTCGATAAGGGGTTGTCCCATCAGACGCCGAGCATCCACGTGCGCAACCCATCTGATTGGACCAGTCTTCGGAGATGTAGATCCGGTCCTGCCTCGAACTTACCTGGGTGCCTGTGCGCGTGGCACGTGGCTGGAACAATGTATGAACAGTCTTACGTTTCCGCACCGTGTCTTGCCAATGCTTCTAATCGCGCGCACCGCGCTACGGTCTCCATGTCCTGGCAGCCACTGCGAACTGATCTTCTTGTTGCGGCATTCTTGAAACCACCCCCTATGAGTGACAGCTCCTAGGAGCGGTCGAATCTACATGGCCAATTGTTCGTGTAACCGGGAGCGGAGGTCGTATAGTGAGCCTCCCGCTGAGGCATCCTTCCCGGTCGGTAGATACACAATATGGAAGTCAAAGGCCCTTGAACTTCGTGGGGGCGAACAGTTTCCATGCTGTTTGGCGCCTTCTTACTGAAAAACTGGAGACATCAGCGTACGATGATGCTGGCCCTTGCGCGCTGATGTCCTCCATGTGACCAAAAGCCAGCCACCCCGATGCCTGCAGGGTTGAATAGCACTGTTGATCACTTCCGAGGTGGTACTCTCACGCACCGTTGTGCAGCCAGATAACTACGTGGAGTCAGCGTCTCAGCTCAGTCATGACGGATTCCGCTGGGAGTTTTTTTATCCTCAAGCAATGACGGCGCCCGAACGCTCACGTGGAGCGCGCCTGCCCTGAACCGTCCCTGACGCTACTTACTACGCGACCGCGGATTGGACAGTGCCTGGCTCGATGCGAACTGACCTCGAAACCGCTGCATGGAACGCTGGGCCCATACCCAGCGGCGTTGGTGCGACGGGTGATGGCGACAGCTGGAAGCCTCCTGAAAATCACGGCTCCAGGAGAAATCACCCGACGACATGCTACTGGAGATTTGGCTCTGCTGGCCGATCCCGGCACCACCACGCCCGCGGGGAAGACCCATATCCAGCTGCCATCGATGAGTTTGGCCAGGCAATTCGAAAACTTACTTCACTGCATGCTCTTTCAGGTCGGCGGCACGACGGCCACGGTGGACCTCAACAAACTCCTGAAGGGAAACATTCGGGGCCCGACCAAAGTAGCTCCAGTCGGGCCGAGGAGCCAGAGGCATAGGGGCAACCATAATTGAAGACCTGATTCTTCGGATGGTTGTCTGTGTGAGCTCGTGTTCAGCATAGTCGGTGTTCACTCCGTCTCTGACCACTTCGTGCGCGACGGCGATTGCGTAGCGCATATCCACAAACGCCAGCGACCCACTTCATCTACTTTCTGTACTCCTCCTGTACTTGTCACGTCGCCGAGGCCCGACGACCGATGGCCCAACGGTCGATGACGTATCCCATGCTACTGTCGCGGACGGACCTGGCGGCCAGAAGTCATTTGATGTGCGTGTCCACCCTATGGTTTATAAGTGCGTGGCTGCGTCACTACAATACTACATGCACAAGGCCTGTGCGCTGAGAACGCGCGACGCTATCATAATACATCGAATATGACCTTGCAGCTCATGAACAGGGTGGCCTTCCCCTCCGTTCTGGAGCACGCGCTCGACAGAAGGAAAGGCCTTGGCCGAAACTGCCCGGAGGCATGCAGCAGGGTGGACTGTCATTCGTCGCTCCGCGCTGCTGCTCCTCCTCCTGCACTGTCCCCTCCCCAAAGCCACAACCTCTCGACCATTTCCTCGGGACCGGTTTTTCATCCCGAGTCCTTTTTGACGGTCCCGAGGCCCAGTAAGGGCTCCAAGATGCCGAAAGCTATGAAAAAGACGACGAGTGTCTGGGTCCTTCCCCCCCCGACCTGAGATGAGGCCAGGACGAGATGAATTCGGGTGAGGACCAAACGAAAGTCTCCGAAATCTGGCTGCTCTGGATGATGTCTCAGGCGCCGCGGCCTTCTAAGAGCGTTCACGAACGCTCTGAGAGCGTTCCAGGACACTCTGGAACAGATTTATTCTCGTCCTGGCCCCGTCCGACTACCCCGCACTCCCTTCCCCTCTCCCTCCGCGCTCTCAACGAAGACCGGGTTCGGCGGCCAAGTGTCCGGGCTAAAGCCGAGCATGGTGCCCTCCTGGCCCTCCTCGGGGGCAGTCCCGCGCAGGTCCTCCCTCCCCTCCCTCCCTCCCCTCCCCTCCATGCCAGCCCATCCCTCCCCATCCCTCACCATCCCTCACCATCCCTCCCCTCCTCCCTCTTCCCTTTTCCCTCCTCCCTCCTCTTTCCTCCTCCCTCCTCTTTTCTCCTCTTTCCTCCTCTTCCTCCTCCTCCTCCTCCTCCTCCTCCTCCTCCTATCCTCCTCCCTCCTCCTCCTCCTCCTTCCTCCTCCTCCTCCTCCCTCCTTCTCCTCTTCCTCTTACCTCTCCTCCTCCTCCTCCTCCTCCTCCCCTCCTCCTCCTCCCCCTTCCCCTTTTCCTTCCCCTTTTCCTTTTCCCTTGCCCTTTTCCCCTCCCTCCTTTCCCATCCCTGCCTTTCTCCCCATCACTCTCCTCCTCTTCCCTCCTCCGCCCGTCCTTCCCTCCTCCTCCTCCTACTCTTCCTCCTCCTCCTCTCCCTCCTCCCTCCTCCCTCCTCCCTCCTCCCTCCTCCCGCCTCTTTCCTCCTCCCTCCCTCTTTTTCTCTCTTTCCTCCTTTTCCTCCTCTCCTCCTCCTCCTCCTCCTCCTCCTCCTCCTCCTCCCTCCCTCCCTCTTCCTCTTCCTCCTCCTCCTCCTCCTCCTCCTCCTCCTCCTCCTCCTCCTCCTCTCCCTTCCCCTTTCCTCTTCCTTTTCCGGCCCTTGCCCCCTTCCCTTCCTCCTCCCTTCCCCATCCTGCCTTTTCTCCCCCATCAACCTCTCCTCCTCCCTCCTCCGCATCCGTCCGCCCTCCTCCTCTCCTCCTCCTCCTCCTCCTTCCTCCGCCTTCCTCTCCGTACCTCTCTCCTCCTCTTCGACTTCCTCCTCCTCCTCCTCCTCCTCCTCCTCCTCTCCTCCGCCTCCTCCTCCTCCTCCGCCTCCACCTCCACCTCTCTTCTCCTCCTCCTCCACCTCCTCCCCTCCTTCTCCTCCTCCTCCTCCTCTCCTCCTCCTCCTCCTCCTCCTCCCCTCCTCCTCCTCCTCCTCCTCTCCTCCGCCTCCCCTCCTCTCCTATCCTCTACTCCTTCCTGCCTCGACCTCCTCCCTCCTCCTCCTCCTCCGCCTCCTCTCCTCTTCCTCCTCCTCCTACTCCTCCTCCTCCTCTTCCCTCTCCTCCTCCTCCTCCTCCTCCTCCCCGCTCTCCCGATTCCTCCGAGCGGTGCGGTGCGACAGGCCGTGCCAGCAGGAGGCCGTTTCTCTTCTGCTGCTGTTGCTGCTGTTGCTGTTCCTCCTCCTCCTCCTCAGCTAGTGGGAGAGGGTCAGGTGCGTGCACTTAGTGCCCATGCCATGATCTGCTGTGCTGCAGGGCGTGGTGTGAACGGCGTGACGAGGTGATGGGGTCCCTCGTCCGCTTCTTTTTGTTATCATCCATATGTGTGCTTGCATAGTGCTTGCGCATGGCGTGTGATTTCTCTCACGTGGCTGCCCAATGTCCCTATTCCTCCTCCTCCTCCTCCTCCTCTTCCTCCTCCTGTCCTGTTCTGTTCTCATTGGAGGCAAGTGTCGAAGCCACTTGCCCCGACCGCAACACAACTCAGGCTCCGTTGCCTTGAACGACCCGAGCTTGAATCAGCAGCCCGACTTTTGACAGGAGCTGGGCATCACCCCACTTCTCCTCCCAGGGGTTGTCTACTAACTCAGCCTCTGGCACCTCCTCCCTCAAAGCCAGGACCCCCTTTCGAGCTGACCTGGTCAGCCCGGCAAGATCCGGAGGGGAGGGCGAGCAGTGACACATCAAGGTCCAGCGCCGAAGCTGCCGAGCCCAACTGGGAAACAGCCCCTCGGAGAACCTTGACCTCTGCTGTCGGAGGTCCTTCGAGGGAGGGTGGCCAGGGCACAGACCAGCAAGAGCGGCCACGCCAGTCCAGGCGCATCCCCCACACTTCAAGCACGGCATCACCCACCCACTGCCCGCCACCCGAGACCCATCATCAACAGAGGCTTTTGCCTTGCAAAGATTGTGGCCTTGCAAACGGACGAGGAGCTCCAACTCAGAGAGCTGGGCAACACTTCCAGCGGTCTGAGCTGCGTCGCGACAGACCGGCACCCGAAATTCCAGCTTGGGCTTCCATCGAGCCTCAGCCTTCCTTTCTTCTCTGTGACCTATTCTAACTCGCTGCTGGAGGCTGGGCTGGACCTTGCTTTCCGACGCTTCAGCGGGCCCAGGGAATCCCGAGGTGTCAGCCCAGCCTCTGATCTTCATTAGCACATCATGCATGGCACCCCATCTCACAATCTCACTCTGGAGTGCGCGCATGGATTCAATAATGCCCACTGAGTTGGCTGGCAACGGGTGCGCCTCGGCCCCTTGCCTAGCATATCTATCCGCATGCTGATTGCCTAAGCGGTGCACAACCGTGCACTCGCCATTCAAAACGTCAACCATCCTGGCGTGTCCTTTGACTTGTCTGGCCCTGAGCCCATCTTCAAAAACATGTCAGACTTTGGCCCGCATATGGGCCCTGGAGTTTAGAGACGAGCAACTCTTGGCGTGTCCCACGCGCATCCCAGGGCCCCAGCACAAACCGTGCAAATCTCAAAATCAGACAAGGAGTCCACAAGCTCGCTAGCCATATTATAAGCATAGTCCCCACCGTCTCTGGCCTTTTGGCGGGGCGCAAACTCACGCGGGGCAGGCCCGAAAGCCGCGGAGAGGACTTCCCCCCGATCGTTGACTTGGACCAAACTCCAACCAACCCTCCCCGCGAAGGCACATGCGGGGTTCAAAGCAGAAACACCCCCAAAGAAATGTCTCCAGAGTTTGCCCGATGGCGGCTTGCTGAACCGAAACGCCGAACACCCTGCGTCTTTTAGCGGCGGCGGAATCACTTCTTTAGGATATGGAAAAACACCTGCCGCAAACTTCTCCAGATCCTCCCCCTTCTCCTCCGCCATCATCGCCGCCCTCATGCATTCCTTGGAGAGGCGGGCCCCCCGGTCCTCCCAGGACGCGGCGCATTGGAACTTGCGGTGGAACAGTGTGCCTGGCTGCTCTCGACACAGCTGACAACAGTCCTCCGCGGCCAGGCCATGCCCCTTGAGTCGAGCCTGTGGCCAAGCACCTAGCGCAAAAGGAATTCCGAGCGCACGCTTGATGGTGCTTCGCCCAGGCTTCCGAAGTTCTCTCCGACAACATACCCATCCGACCTCCCCAGGATACAGGGTGACACCACGACGAACCCAGCCTTGGCCTGAGTTGGGGAGGCCCTTTGTCAGCCCACAGTCCTGAGTCTCTCTCAACCAGCTCTTTATCACCAATGGGGAAATCTCAAGTGACTCTATCAGTTCTCCATCGCACAAGTGGATCTTCCTGGGTGAGCTCGGCCTCCAACCTATCTCGGCAAGAGTAAGCAAGTAAACATGTGCAGGTGGTGTGGCTACCAGCCACGGCCGCTGAGCTCTCCAGAGGTCGCCATCTGCTTTCCCGATGACGCGCTGCATGACATCGAGCCCAGGAGCGCCGTCCCAAACAGTCCTGCACCACTGATACACAACAGTACTGTGGTACATCACCTATGGGTCCATCGCCTTGCCTATCTTGAACGACCTCAACCTAATAGACATCAAAACCCCGCTCTTATCATTACGCGAGCTTCTAGTAGCATCCAGACTCAAAGCCTGAACTTGTGCCGGCGGCAATCCAGCCACCGCAGAACCCCGTGGAGCACCAGTTTGAAGCCCCGCGCGTTGTATTTGACCCACAGAGCCCCCGGCATTTTTGAGCTTCAAAATGCGAATCGACCTCCCCCCCGCCTTCGCTAATCGTTTCCGCGCAGTCGGGTTTCGCCTGGTCCTCCAAGCGACGGCGTCGCAACCCAGAGAGCGAACAGCTGTCTCCTCCTTGAAACAGAATTGCGCCCATCTCAACGCCAGTGCTTACGCGATGCAACGCATTCCGTCTTCTTGCCCGAGACCGCCAGCCGCAACTTTTCAAATCCTTCCTTCATCATGATTGCTGCTCCTCCTAACTGCTCTTCTATATGCTTGACAGTGCCTGATGTCTGCGCGGGCGCATCGTCGATGACGTTCTGCATGGGCAGCGACGGGCATGCAGCAGAGACGGCGCAAAGCAGGCGGTCGAGAACAACTTTAGCACAGGTGGTTACCAGACTACGTCCTGCCATAACATCACCTGATGCCTGGCGCAGCGCAGACACAGCTCCCTGAAAGTTGAGAGCTCTCGCACCTGTGCACAAAACAATAGCGGCGCGCGTGAGCCCACGATGCAATCCCGACGCCTTGGCCTCGTCGAAGAGAATCGCTGGCCCCGCTCTCCCATGGAACTTGTCTAAGTCCCCAAACCACGTGCCACATTCAAACTGGTTAATCCTAGCATATTCATTCAACATAGCATGCTGCCACCCCTCTCGATCGCATTCCTTGTTCCGAGATCCCCAGAAGAACGCCTCCTGGCGATTGTATTCCCAAGACCTCGCCACGAACTGACGGACCCTGGCCCGCGCTCTGAGAACGCTGACGATGAGAGCATGTGGGCGCAGTCCAGCGCCTTCAGGCATCGTTCTAGCCTGATCCGAGGCCCCCCCCCCCCCCCCCCCCCCGATCCTTACCCTTCGTGCGTCCGATCATACGAACAGGTTCAACTCGGCTGAAGGCAAGGTTGGAAAAACTTGGCGCCCAGCACTGCCCGGTCGATATTCTCCCACATCAAGGAGTCGGGCTCAGAACGCGGGCGCAGCATGGACTTGCTCAGCGCAGCCGACAGATACCTCCGAGCTCTCAGCTGCCGAGTTGAGTTAGCACACCACTTTTGTTTCACAATCGCGTCCAAGGGAATTTCGTATTCGTCGAAACCCCGAAGATCGCCCAATGTACTTTTTCTGCTCAGGCCCCTGGGGGTCAACAATCCGACAAAGCTCAAACTCCGTGAAATCGGCCCACTGGCCCCAGACATCAACCTCATGTCCCCAGTATTCCCAAGATCCCGATCCCACGGATATCGTAAAGGCTCTCGTTCACATCCTATCTGCCTGCTCGTTGGAAACCGTTTCCAGGCGACCCGCGCATGCATGGGCGCGTCTCGACTCACCCCGTGCGGCTGGATCTCGACAAGAGAGCGATGCGAAACAAGTGCCTCGTGCCAAACTTTGATATCTTTCACGCAACTACGGAGCCCTGCCGACATGAAAAAATAGTCGCGCACCTGGCCTTTTCCTGCAGTACACGTCATCGTTGGGGTGGGGGGGAACAACCGTGGCACCGAGCTCCTGACGCCAAGATTTGATTTCAGCATGGTCAGGCGACATGTTAGCGCCACAGCCCAAGATCCATGGTATCGACAGATGTCACAAGAACTTGCCCAATCCAGACATCAGGCCCAAATTGTCCTTGGAGGTCCCCCGCGAGCGGTAGGAATGAGCCGGTAGCCAAACGCGCCCCCCCGCAACAACTCCATTCACATGTCTTGCAATCACTCGACCCTGTGCTTCAGGAAAAGACTCTAGGCCATCAAGCGACAGCGCGCACCGGTTGATGCGCGATAAGCCTCCAGCTAGGACTCCAGCCGAGGTCTCCAGGATACCGGCACCAGTAAGCACTGCAGGGCTGAAGGCTGCGTTCAGTCCTGTTGCTCTCAACAGACCGGTGTACTGAAGAATGTTGGAAAGATCCTGGACTCTCGTTTCCTGTCCAGCCCAAAACTGTGGCTTCGGTCCTCGGGCGTCTTCCATCCCCCAATCTAAAACGGTCTCCCAGGTGCTCCAGGTGTTGTCATTGCACGAGAAGAACCCTCGGACATCCCTTTTCTTGGGCTTCAGTTTGGCCTTCTGCGCCCTGGGATGGTCTGCGCCAGAGCCTGCTCAAGGCTGATCGTCA